GAATCGATGTGCAGGGCTCGAACTCATGAACTGTGAGATTATGACCTGAGCCGAAGCCAGATGCTTCATCAACTGAGCCACCCAGGTGCCCCGGAGCTCAGAATTTCTTAGAAGCAGGCCTGACCTGTGGTCTTGGTAATATAGTCGGTGGCCCTTCTGTTAGAGCATCCGGGGGGACTCTGTAAACATTCCCAGTGAGCTAATGGCGAGAAGTGGGCCATGGAGAACGAGACAGAGGAAGCCACTCACAGTAGATTCTACACTCGGTGTTCACCAGACACACAACACGTGGGATTTAGGGGGGGAAGGGGCTCTTCTCGTTGCACCTTTGTTTTTAGCACCTCAAAATTTACAGTAACGCTAAAAGGTGTTATTTTTCTTTTTAACCCCAAACTTGCAAAAGTCACCCCTTCCAAAAGTAACCGTGGGCCTTGTATTTGCACTTGGCCCTGGGAGTGATATTTGTGTGAATGGTCGGCCACGACGGAAATGGTCTGCTTCCTCAGTTCCCCACGGACACCGCCCTGACCCTCCACCCTAGTCCCCCCTCATCAAGTTGCTCACTGAACCGTGTGACACGACATCAGGTGAGGTCACGAGAGCAGTTGAAAGTTGCCAACTAAACCCCAGAGGAGCCGTGTTGCTGCCTCCCAGCCTGCTCCCAGCATGCTTCCATGCCCTGATTGTTTTGCGCAGTGATTATTCTCGTGAAGCCCCGAGGAATCATTAATCCCATTTACGGACATAGACACCAAGCGCTTGGAGCGCGGCTTCCCGATGAGGCGTAGCAGTGAGAGAGGGTCTGCATCCCGAGGTCTGCAACATACAGCATGTGGTCTGTTAGGTCCACGGCATCCCCCTCACAGACCCTGGTGTACTTGGCCGGGTCACTTCTGGGTGCCAGGGTGAGTCCGGGAAGGTCGGGAACCGTGGCGTTAAGAGAATTCTTCGGAGCGGTTTCCCGCAAGCACTCGACACCCACATGCCCAACGCCTCCCCAGCCCTGCTCCCCAGTGGCGGTCCACATCCAAATCCTGCATGTTCGCCTTGCTTCTTTCTCCTCCCCGCTTCGTTCCGCCGTCAGGTCCTGGCGATGCTCCTTCCACGTATCGCTTGAACTTGCTCACTTGTCTGCTGTTCTACCGCGTGCGGGGCCG